CTGCGGAGCAGCTTATGGTCATTTAGAGTAGGGGTGTCAAATTTGGATTTCGTTGAGGGCCACATCAGGATTGTGGTTGACGTTGAAGGGCCAGAAAACGTGCAGTGGGCGTGGCTGGCGTGGGTATGGCCAGCTTCCTGCCTTCCTGCCTCCTCATTCCCATCTCCCTCCCTCCTTCCTCCCCTGCCTTCCTCCTTCTCATTCCCATCTCATTCCTTACTCCGCACTCAGGAAGGGATGAAGGGAGGGGGAGAGATTGGTAGCATTGCCAGTGGCCGTGCTTACCACACCTGTAGCTTTCCTACATGGAGTGGAATGGGGGCCATTCCAGGGAAAGTGAAGCTGCACAAGCTGCAAGGCCAGGCCAGCAAGCAGGCCAAGGAGGCTCTGGTGGTGGTCGCTGCACTGATACTATTGGATGGCAGCCATCCAATGCCTCGCCCCCACCCCTGCCCCCTGGCCATGCACACAGAAGGCAACGAGCACCCAAAGGGCAGAGCTGAGGCAGCGGGATCTAGGGCTGACCCATTCCACCCTAGATGGCAGCCATTAAGTTATAGATTAGTGTGGCTGGTCTTGTCTGGGGCTGAGGCACTGGGGGGCAGTCCTTTGCTGTCTCAAGGGCAGCCACTGGGGGCCAGATCTAGCCATGTTGCAGGTTTGACACCCCTGCTTTAGAGTGCTAATAGTGTTTATGATTGGCTAGATTTGGAACTTAAAGATGCCATGCTGGAAAAGAAATGTCAAAGCTCCAAGGCAGACCTACAGAGGGGAACATGGAACATAAGCATGAATATGGGAAAGCTCAGTGCAGTAAAAGACTAAATGAATCAACTACACATTGGCATCTTCATCATCTGTGAACTGAGATGAACTGTAATTGATGCCTATATACCTGGGCATTGCCAAATGGAGTGCACTGAAATCAAATTGTTAGAAAGAAGGAGACAAGCTCAGTTATAATACCAAAGACATGACTGTGTCTGAGTGTGGAAGAAATCTGTTCCTATGCAAATTCCAAGTTAAAGCAGAAGAAAACCAACCAGTTTCCAAGATATGCTCTTAGCTGCAAACCCACAATTTTCAAGCATATCAAAAATTGCTTTTAAATCCTGAGCTTCATTGATAGTGAACCAGAGGAACTGTGAAATAAAATTAAAGAAGTTGTTAAGTAAGATCAAAGAAGATCAAAAAACAGAACAAAGCAAATTGGATCTGAATACAAGCCATGGAAACTGCCAAGAAGAGAAACCAAAATCAAGAAAGACAATGGCCTCAAAAAAGAAACATAACTTAAAACTATATTATGAGGCAGTAGTTTTATCGCTAATTAGTGATTGGATTAATTTAACAGATGATAGAATACTTAATAGCAAAGGGCATGATTTGATATATGGTTGGCATGCTTATTTGCTATATGACAAAAATAGATAAGAACTTTAAAAGTCATATTTTAAGGAATGCTCTACTGTGGGTCTGGAAAAAATATCAATACAAATTAAATGATAAGATACCCTTGTGGGCAATTCCTAGACATGCAATAGAAAATATGAACATAGTACAAAAACAGGATATAATCACTTACAGACAGCTTCTTACCCTAGAAAGGGGTGTATTACAACTAAAATCCTGGGATGAATTAAAAGAGG